CGAATTTGTCCGTCACGTTGACGAGTTCCCCAGCCTCTGGCGTCGTGGTCACACCTGAAAGAGAGAAGAAGAAAAGACTGTGTCACCATGTTGTGTATCTGAGAGTTTGATTCACTCAGATTGTCTTCGTCAAGGAGATTGTTTCCAACATGCGCGTGTGAATGGTTTGATATTTGAAATATGTAAGCATGTGTTACATTCATTAGTGAGTTATTGAAGATCTTCTACACCGAATGTCATGCAGGCGAGTTGTATGCTTGCTATATGCCTTCACCCTTCATATTTTTCCCATTGTTTGAAGCATCAAGGACAGATTCACAGTGAAATACCTCATACTTCCGATTTTGCATCAAAAATGTACCAGACGGAATTAATGAGACAACCCCTAACGACTACATTCACACTTACTTATGTGCACAAGTGCACATTATTCATTTTTATTACTTTGTCACTGTTATTTTGTTTTTTTCTAATGTGTAATCTTCACTTAGTCGTGCAGTACTTGCGTATTATCTGCTTTTTAAACACTTTGCCTTGTATCTCCTTCAAACTAAACATTCTTTGGATAAATGCACCCTTCATTTTATTTTGGATATCTGCAACTTCACCTGCTTTCTTTCTTCTTTACATATATATGCATATATATACAATGAAGTACTCTTTTGTGAAACATAAATAGACATATAGTTGAAAAAGACATAACAGTTCGGAATTTCAAAATATCTAACCTGTTTGTGTCGATCCAATATGCGCACTTTTTCTTCCAGAGATAACTTTCCCATCCTTTGAAACAACCTGCTTTATACCAGTAACGTCCAAGTGTTGATGTCCGCCTACAAATCATGATAAATGAAAGAGTCAGAATCAGAGAAGATATTTATATTTCTGTCTAGTTAACAATTACCACTTTATGCGTCCTAAGCAATAAAACTCTGTAGTTTTATCTCAAAGCTAAATCAGTACTAAGCAGCTGAAAATATCCCACTGACAAATTAGTTTTTGTAACTAGTGCACAGGTTTTGAACATCAACTCAATCATACAATATGATATTGTGCTTTCACTTTAGAAATGTTTAAGAGAATATTGCATAAATGTGTAAATCCAGTTTATTTTTTCAAAAGATTGCTCCAGTGCATTCCATTTAATTTAATCTTTGTCATTGTTTATAAATTTCAAGCATATTTTCTACTCTCTGACAATCACAAACTGTCTTTGCATTCAACGTGTCCACTAAGTAGATTGGAAAAATAGTTCGACTCACATGGATTATACTGAGATAGGCATTTTGCTTTGAAATTGATGGATATCGACTTGAGTTCATGATCTACTGGAACCAGATGTGCAATTGGTATGTTACGACTGATATCACTTGTGTTTAACGAAGGTACTGATTAAATGAAGTCAAAGAGAACAAAGTAGAACAGAATCTTTTGTTATAAAATTTATTTATGATTACATTCATATTTTATTATGAATGTGAGCGGAAGTATTAAACAATTTTTGACAAACACAGTCGATTCTCCGCATTTTTATCTGTAGAGACAACTGTGTCACTGACTATATGCACTTCAAAGCACTTATTGAACATGGCTTTAAGTTGGACTATGTTTCTCTTGAATAGCTACATGTGATATAGACCAGACCTGAGTTTTTATTTATCTGGTGATTACTCTTGGTCAGACTACAACATACACACAACACTATAATGTTCAAATGTATGACACATTCACCAGGAGTATAATATCAGTAAGGAGAGATAGACAGCGTGTTACCACCACCTCTTCAGTAGATCACGAAGGCAAACATCACAATCGCTTTGTCAACCAGATGTATAATACCAAAAAAATTTAAAATACTTACTCGAGTTGGGATCGGAGCAATTCACACTCCTTGCTGATCTGCAGAAGTGAAGTGAAAGTGATTTCACCGGATTGACAATTTGAGAAACATTTGGATTTGCAATCAATGGATTGTTCACAACACCTTCATGAATAAGACATCAAAAGTTATATTAAAGATGAACACATTTTGAAAATGATTCAGTAATGTTTCATTTCAGTGTATAGATAAACTGATGAATATAAAATTTCTGATTTGACTGTAGTCTGATGTCGTTGTCAAACACATAGTCAAGTTAGTCATGAATGAAAATAACCCCAAAGAAGATTCCTCTCAGCACTTATCGCACTCAAGTGATCTCTGTCCAAATAAGTAGACTGAAGTCTAAGTTACAACATTCCATTTTCAGCCCGTTCGTTTAT